GGTTTATAATAGGTATGGGTTTTACTGCGATTGGGTGATTTGGGTAATTAAATATATAATGTTAAATAATTTAATTTACTGTAATTTTCCGATATAAATTATACAAATGCGATAGTCCAGGTTATAGTTAAAATGTCGTGTTGGTTAATTAGAACTCTAAAGTGGGAGACAAAAGTCTATATGGGCAATTCCATACGATTGTTGTGACATTCGCACGCCTTTAAAGTGGTTTAGATTTTGTAAAATTAGGAATACTTGGAAAACAATTTTGTCATTCTGTTCCATTTAAAGAATACTATATTTGCAACAGGAATCATCCCATTCGGAACCTTGTTTGCCAAAATATGGATTAAAATATGGCGATATCATACGTGACAAAAAAACGGAGTGTTTTTAAAGTAGATGTAAATATTTACGAAAATCTGCGAGTTCTGTAGGTGTATCTTTTCTGTTTTAATTTCATACACTATGGGACATATTTTTCATTAGTAATCCATAATTTTTAAATAAAACAAGTTAGAGTGCTATATTCGGCTGAGCCGAATCTTAAATACCCGCCACCAGCTATTTTTATAGTAATACCTTTTTAATTGATCAAATATTTGTAGAAATAAGTTTTCTCATGCCTTAAGTAGAAAAACCCCAAGATTTAAACAGATTAAATCTGTTACAATTACAAGATTTATTAAACATTACAAACCCCATTTTCTTTTTTTTTGATAGCGCCCTAAGATATGCTGTAACGATATTTAATAATGTGGATGTGTGTGAAAGATTTAAGGATTTTCAAAATACATATATATAATTTTGCTCTACACAAATTGATAATGCAATTTGTTAAATACGGTTAAATTGCTTTTAGTGGAAGGACATAATATGGGAGATATGACCAATTATAAACCGATCGTAAAAAATTCTTTAAGCAAAATTTCTGTGCATAAAAGCTATATTTCAGTCAAATTTTGTATCTATATTGTAATTTAGTAATAAGTAATGTGTGCTCAAGTGATTTTCTGAAGGGACATTTGCATGGGACCGACCGCACCCATGTTATGGACCGATCGTGAAAAAATCTTGAAATAGAATTTTTGTATACCAAACTAATATTTGTGCCAAATTTTGTATCAATAGCTCTATTTGGTAATGAGTTATGTGTGTTTAAGAGATTTTCGTAAAGGCGCTATGACCAATTATGTATATAAAGACAAAATTTCAAACATCTGTATCTATATCATTATTTAGTAGTAAATATTGTGCATTTAAGTGATTTTCTGGAGGGGACCTAGTATGAAAGCTATGGCCAAATATGGACCGATCGTAAAACAATTTTATAGTGTAATTTATGTATATAAGAGGAATATTTGTGCTAAATGTATGGATATCAATATTTTGTAATGAGTTATGTGCGTTTAATTGATTTTCGGGAGGGAACCTTATATGGGATCTATGACCAATTATGGACCGAACGGAAAAAACTTTCATAGTAATATTTCGGTATATGTGAGCAATACTTGTACCAAAATTTATATGCATATCTTAATTTAGTAATGAGTTATGTGCGTTTAAGTGATTTTCGGGAGGGGACCTTGTATGGGCGATCCAGAAAATTTTTTCTCTCAATGAATTCTATTGACATAAGATTTTGAGTTGTAAAATTTGTATGAAGATATCAACATTCTGACGGAAGTTATTAACAAAAAACTCATTTTCCGGGAATATGTACATTTGAATGAGAGGTAAATGAGATTGTGGAGCTATTCTCGCAATTTTCAGCAAGAATCGAAATATTATGTAGAAACGAATGTATGATGACTTTCATGAAATTATCTTGCATAGTTTTCGAGAAAATTACATCAGAATGTGTAAAAAATGCTTATTTTTTCTGAGTTGTTTTAATTTTTGATTCATAACTTTTCTCGATGTGAACCGATTTTGCACATTTTCAATACAAAACTGTACCGGATAATAGTGAATACTTGTTTTTGGTGAATTTGGTTAAATTATCTTGCTTCGTTTTAACGTGAGCGTGTTTTACACAGACAGACGGACGAACGGACAGACGGGCATAGCTAAATCGACTCGTAAGGACCCTGAATGTATATACTTTGTTGGGTCTCAGATGAATATTTCGTGGTGTTACACACATGACAAACTTATATAAACCCTCTATCACCACTGATGGTGGTGGTGGGTATAATAATCAAATTGATTTATCTATACACAGAACAGGCTCCTGTCGAGTTTAATAATAAATTATGTGGCATTAAGTGGTTTTCATAAGTGAACCTTATATGGGAGGTAGGTATGGACCGATGCTGCAAAAATTCCTTATATGGAATGTAACTAATAATGGACCGATGTGGAAAATTTTCACGGATGAAAATATATATATATATATATATATATATATATATAGATATATATATATATATATATATATATATATATATATATATATATATATATATATAGATATATATATATATATATATATATATATATATATATATATATATATATATATATATATATATATATATATATATATATATAAATATATATATATATATATATATATATATATGTATATATATATATATATATTTATTTACGGAAATATGAAACTTACGCCCTTGAGAATTTGTTTTTCCTGAAACTCAAAAGGGCTTAACTTACATTAAAAAACTAGTAAGTTTTAAGATTTTCAACTAAATTCAAATCGGTTTTTGTTGGTCATATAGGCCGAAACATGGAAGGCATAAGCCTTCTTTGTTTTCATAGAGATTTTAGGAAATTGGAATTTTTCTTTGAAAAAATTCTAAGTCTGATAAAATAATCTCCAAATTGCAAGGATTCGCTAAACGTTCCATTTTTGTTTCATTTGATGCAAACTTATAACATTTCACAGCTTCGAAGTTAAAAATTCAAAAGAATTTTAAATTTTTCATGAATTTTAAGGTAATTTTAGAACATAACCTTTTAGAATTTCTTTGATATTTTAATTGTAGGAGTGTAAAATTTTGCAGGAACACGTATTTTGATACGGTGCATCATAAACAATTAGAAAGTCGATTTTGATTTTTTTGTAAAATAGGGCTTTTTGGATTTCATATAAATCATTCGTGAACATTTTCCACATCGGTCCATAATTGGTTACATTCCATATAAGGAATTTTTTCAGCATCGGTCCATAACTAGCTCCCATAAAAGTTTCACTTCTGAAAAACACTTAATGCCACATAATTTATTATTAAACTCGACATGTTCTGTGTATAGATAAATCATTTTGATTTTTTTTTTCGAATTGGTCCATTATTGGTCATAGTTCCCATATATATTATCGGCAGGATCGGCACGTAATAGGTCGAAGAATAATCGGTCGGTATCTGAAAATCACTTAATACAAATGGTTCTGGGCCTAATCAAAATTATTTACATACATACATGCATAAAGATGTTACAAAATGATAAATAGTATCCCGAAAATCACTTAAACGCACATAACTGACTACAAAATATTGATATCCATACATTTAGCACAAATATTGCTCTTATATACACAAATTACACTATAAAAATGTTTTACGATCGGTCCATATTTGGTCAGAGCTCTCATACTAGGTAAACTCCAGAAAATCACTTAAATGCAAAATATTCATTACTAAATAATGATATACATACAGAATTTTGAAATTTTGTCTTTATATACATAATTTGTCATAACTCCCATACAAGGTCCTTTTACGGAAATCTCTTAAACGCCCATTACTCATTACCAAATAAAGCTATTGATACAAAATTTGGCACAAATATTAGTTTGGTATACAAAAATTCTATTTCAAGATTTTTTCATGATCGGCCCATAACACGGGTGTGGTCGGTCCTATGCAAGGTTCCCTTCAGAAAATCACTTGAACACACATTACTTATTACTAAATTACGATATACATACAAAATTTGACTGAAGTATAGATTTGATGTACAGAAATTTAGCTTAAAGAATTTTTTAGGATATAAAAAAATAAAAGAAAAGGTAATGTTCAATAAATTTTGGAATTGTAACAGATTTAAGCTGTTTAAATCTTGGGGTTTTTCTATTTAAGACATGAGAAAACTTATTTCTACAAATATTTGATCAATTAGAAAAGTAGTAATATAAAAGTAGCTGGTGGAGGGTATTTAATATTCGGCTCAGCCGAAAATAGCACTCTAACTTGTTTGATTTTACATTTTTATTGTTTTCTGAGTTTAGAGCATTTTGCTCACTCATTACAATAATTTTGTTTTTTTTATTTGTTTTTGTTATTATTTGTATTTTTGAAAATAAAATATATATGTATAATAAAATATTCATTATTTTTAAGAAAGAAAAAAATAAAAAATTAAATTTCAAATTAATTTTTATAAAGAAGTTTTTTAAGTTTATGATCAGCGTAATGCGGCTATCACTCATCACTGTCACGATCGAACTCCTATCTTTACAAACGTTTACAAGTAAAAGTCTTATATTAATGGAATTCATATAGAGGAAAAATTTTCTGAATCGGTCCATAATTGGCTGTAGCTCCCATACAAGGTCCCCTTCCGAAAATCACTTAAGCGCACATAACTTATTGTTAAATAATGGTATCCATACGTATTTATTTCTTATATACACAGAAATAATAAATATGTTGAAAAAACTTATTCAAATCGATATTAGTATTAAACCATATAATTGTAGAAGTAGATTTTGTTGGTTTTATCGAACTTTTAATTTGGATTAAGATAGAAAAAATATTTTTTTTGGAAAACAAATTTTTATAAACGAACTCCGGTTCTAAATCGGACGTAATTAATTTTCTATTACTAAAAAATTTCGATCTTTTAGTTTAGGCCAAATTGTTATACAACTGTATAGTGGTAAATAAGACGAACGATTTTGGTGATGGGTATAAAGATATATCCTTTGAATTTATTCCTTACGACTAATGTTTTAACTAATGTATTTAATATTGCAGGAGAAGTCAATGAATGCGTTCAAGCTTCTCAACAATATGCTCTTAAATCCGACAATGTGTCTATTACAAAGCCACCAGTGCATTTAGGGTAAGTTTTCAATTGACTTGTTTATTTTTTAAAAATACGTTTAATGCAGTCTGTTAAATGTATTTATAGATTCTTAGTTTCATTTATGGTTGATGCTCGTGGTGGTTCCATGCGAGGTTGTCGTCATAGTGGTGTACGTATTATTGTACCTCCAAAATCATGTGCCCAGCCAACACGTATTACATGTCGCTATGTAAAACCGAACCGTGTACATTATCCACCCCCACTAATGGAGGGCGAGGCCCTAATTAGTAGAATTTTAGAACTTTCGCCTGTGGAGGCGAAATTTTTGGGGTAAGTGCTTATATTTATATTGTGCATTATATTTAGATGTTTTTGTTCAAACCCATAATGTAAATTACATCAATATGGGTGTACAATATTCGCTTTAGGTAAAATATTAACTATTGAAATATTAAGTATTAATAATTAAATATTTAATACTTTCAGGCCGGTGATATTAGAAGTTCCACATTTTGGATCGCTGCGTGATAAAGAACGTGAAATTATAATTTTGCGCTCTGATAATGGTGAAAGCTGGCGAGAACACACTCTTTATGAAAAGGAAGAGTCGGTGCTCGAGGCACTTCAGGAGACAATGGAAGCAGAATTGAGTCCTTTAGAGGACTTGCGCACAAATCGTATTATTCGTATTGTAACGCGGAATTTTCCACACTTCTTTGCTGTAGTGTCTCGTATACGGCAGGAGGTACATGCTATAGGTTCTGATGGTGGTACTGTATCATCACAAGCCGTTCCCCAGGTTCAGGCAATATTTCCGCCAAATGCATTGACGAAGAAAATTCGAGTCGGTCTTCAGGCACAGCCAGTTGACTTGAACGGTTGCTGCAAATTGCTTGGCCAAGGTGTGGCTGTGTCGCCAGTTGTGACGGTTGAACCGCGTCGCCGTAAGTTCCATAAAGCCATCACACTTAGCATACCGGCACCGAAAGCTTGTACCCAAGGTATGGTGAATTCGCCCTACACTGGTAACGCTCCTACGTTACGTCTCCTATGCTCCATTACTGGAGGACAGAATCGAGCTATTTGGGAAGATGTTACCGGTTCAACGCCTCTAGCATTTGTAAAGGACAGCGTGACATTTACCACCACTGTTTCAGCTCGCTTCTGGCTGATGGATTGTCGTAATATCGCCGAAGCCAGTCGCATGGCCTCGGAACTTTACTCTTATATGGCGCTTGTACCATTCCGTGCCAAATTTGTGGTGTTTGCCAAACGCATTTCCCCAAATGAAGCCAAACTTTCAATATTTTGTATGACGGACGATAAGGAAGATAAAACTTTAGAACACCAAGACAACTTCACTGAGGTGGCTAAAAGTCGTGATGTTGAGGTCTTGGAGGATCAGGATATTTTCTTGGAATTTGGAGGTAATCTTGTACCTGTACTCAAAACTGGTGAACAACTTAGTCTTAAGTTCCAAGCCTTCCGCGAAAATCGGCTTTCCTTTATGGTGCACGTTAAAAATCCAGACGAATCGTTTGCACGCATAAGCTTTATGAATGAGCCGAAAACCGGACAGGGTGAAGCTCCAAAACAACCAATTTGCACACTTAACATTTCTCTTCAGGACTCTGGAGTTGATTTGGCTTCCAGTAAAGAAAACGTTGCTGCTGGTAGCCAGCGTAGCATCAACAGTATTAACTTTGTAGACCGAGGTCTCAATCAGCGCGATCAGATCAATGCCGAATACATGAAAAAGTACCATGAACGTGAAATTCAACAACAGAACGGCGAATCGCAAATTGAAAAAATCCCAAACGAAACAATTCACAAGGCTGACATGCATCTGTCGCACATATGTCAATTGCTAGAGGACGACTGGATGCCATTGGCCAAAGAATTGGGTGTACCCGAGACCGACATCGAGCTAATCAATGCTGAGTATGCGGACAAAAGTCAAAATCAGCGTGCAATGGTTATGTTACGTCTGTGGTTGCGTCTGCAGGGCAACGATGCCACTGGCAACAAATTACAGCAGGCTCTTAAAAGGATTCGTCGTGACGACATCGTTAATATATGCATTGATAATGTTGAGCCCGTCACCGACGATATAGAAAGAACAAAAGCCAAAAAACAACTATTTCAGGATGGACTCGAGGGCATCACTGATGTCATCAATGAAGTTGCATTAACGGCCCAACCAACAAGCAAAGCTGCAGCTGTTGAAGTTACAAAAATTCCAATAATTAAAGAAAAAGTTGTTAAAAAAACATTAACGACAATTCTTCCAAATGATCAGACGAACGAAATACAACAACAATTATTACATCAACAAATAGGTAAGGTCTCAACATATTGACATTATTTTCTATTGCATTTTTCCATTAATTAGCTTAAAATCGAGATAGTTCCGAAAGCATTAAAAAATTTATTTTCGAATACAGATTATTATCATTATTATTTTTTTTTCCAATTTTTTTTTAAATCAAGATGAAGTGAAGAATGTAACACCTCCTAAAACTGATATTGTCAGCGATATGAATTTAACTAGTGAAGGTGATGAAAATTCGGTACAACAAATTAGGGACTGTGACATTGATACAATAAGACGCATAGCCGAGAAACACACTATTCAAGTGCTAGAAGAAGCCCAACAAAATATTACTAATAAGGGTAAGAACCAAATTTAATTAAATTTTTACTATGGTTACAAATATTATCCAAAACTGATACTAGTGTTTATAAACCAGTTAACCGAAAAACCGGTTTTTATTGCATATTTCGGTTTTTCGCAAACCGTTCTTTTTTAACATTGGTTTTCGGTTAACCGGGTTATCCGGTTTTTAAGTCTCGGTTAACCGGTTTAAAAAAATAAATTTTTAGTACAAAATTGTATGTTTTCTTTGATTTTTTATTTTGATTCGCATTTTCAAAAATTTTGGATAGATAATTCTAAAAATTATTTTCCGTTTGTGTATATGAAAACAGAAAACAAATGAGGAAGGCTGTTGAAAATTATTGAAATCGGTCCATTATTTCACCTAGCCAGCATACAACCGTACAAACAAACCCACAAAGGGCTTCAGTGCTCATAATTATGTTAAATATTTTGGTATCTCTACACTAATCGGCACAATTCAGTTTTATATAAGTCTAAATTATTTCGTAATTATCGGGCGGTATCGTCAAAAAGTGTCACAACTACATATGTTAATGACCTTGCTGAATTTTATAATAATCGGTCCTTGTTATCTCTCATAAATGTATGTAAATCTATCCACCAAATTTTATGGCTTCTTTCAGTAAATCAGTTTTTATACACTCCACCACCATCAGTGGTGATAGAGGGTATATATAATTTTTTCATTCCGTGTATAACACCAAGTAATATATTTTGGATCCTTATAAAATTCTGAGTCGTTTTAGTTGTGTCCGTCTGTCTGTCTGTATGCCTCAAACACTCTCACATTAAAACTAAGCAAAATAAATCAGAAAAATTCACCGAAAATATTCACTATTGTCCTAAGCAGTTTGGTATTAAAAATCTGCAAAATTGGTCAACAACGTAAAAAGTTATGAGTAAAAATTTCAGACTACCTCGAAAAAAATTAAGTTTTTTTCCTAATTCTTGAATAGTTTTCTCAGAAACAACTAAAGATAATGGAATCAATTTTTTCACACCTTATTTTCTTTACCCAGGGATCAAAAATGTTCAAACTCAAAACAATCGATTCAAAATTTCTCATAGCCCAATACAAAGGTACATATTCTCGGAAATATTTAGAGATATCATTAATAACTTCAGCAAAAATATCGGTATCACCACGAAAATTTGCACATATGTATATAATAAGAACAAAAATCATATTATCAACGTAGATCTGTATAGGTCGATTATTGATCACAGCTCCACTTTCGAAAAATACTTAAATACAAATAACTAATTAAGAAATAAAGATATTGGAATAATATTCAACATAAATATCTTTTGTGTATACATATATCACTTTGCAAAATATTTTTCGGATTGGTCCATAATTAGTCACAGCTCCCAAATAAGGACCACTTCCGAAAATCGCTTAAATGCAAATATCCAATTAAGAAATAAAGATATTTTAAAACAAGTAAGAAATTATAGTCGAGCGAGGCCGACCATATAATACCCTATACCTGTTACAAAAATAAAATGTGATTTAGTTTTCATAATAGAGCATTTAGTTGAATTGTACCTTGCCTCAGATATACTTAAGCCTTTTATTGCTGAATAAAATTGTGAACATTTCAGTAAAATTTTGAAGGGGGTTTTGTATAGGGGCTATGGTCAACTGAGACCCTATAATTATAAAATTCATGAGAGTCATCGAGGCTAGTATAGAACTTGTTTTTGCAGCTTTTTGTCGAGATACGAGTATATTTAACATAATTATGAACTTAAAAGCCCTATTCGTCGGGTTCAGTTGTAAGGGGGCTAGGTGAAATAATGAACCAATGTTAATCATTTTCAATAGGCTTCGTCTCCGGTACCATAGAAGATGATGTGCCGAATTTTATTGAATTATCTTCAAAATTGAGACCTGAAGTTTGATTACAAGCTGTACAAGCCCTATTCACGTGTTCAGTTGTATGGGGGCTAGGTGAAATAATGAACCATAGTTTAGTTGTAAGGTTTACATGGACGGACATCGACTCAGAAAATGATTCTAAGCCGATTGGTATACTGTAAAGTGGTGTAGTGTATAAATAGGCTATAAAAATAAGTTTTTTACGGATCGGTCCATAATTGTTCATATCTGTCATATAAGATCCACTTCAGAAAATCGCACACCTCATTGATAAATAAAGATATCGTAATAAGGATATTTTGTGTATATAAGAAATCTCTTTTTTTTATACCCTCCACCACCATCAGTGGTGATAGAGGGTATATATAACTTTGTCATTCCGTGTGTAACACCAAGAAATATTCATCTAAGACCCAACGCAAAATCGGTTTACATCGGGAAAAGTTATGAATCAAAATTTAAAACAACTCCGAAAAAAATAAGCATTTTTTACACATTCTTATGTAATTTTCACTAAAACTATGCAATATAATTCCATAAAAATCATCATACATTTGTTTTTACATGAGAACTTTATTCTTGTTGAAAATTGCCGGAATCAGTCCACAATTTCTTATACCTCCCATACGAAAGTACACATTCCCGGAAAATGAGTTTATTGTTAATAACTTCCCTCAGAATGTTGATATCTTAACAAACTTTTACAAATTAAAATTCTATGGCAGAAAAAATCATATAGAGAAAAAATTTTCTACATCGGTCCATAATTGGACATAGCTCCCATACAAGGTCCCCTCCCGAATTTACTAAATTACTAAATTAAGATATCTATATAGAATTTGGTACAAGTATTTCTCCTATATATACAGAAATATTACTGTGAAATTTTCTTCCGATCGGTCCATAATTGGTCATATCTCCCATACAAGGTCCCCTTCCGAATCGATCCAAAGTTTCCCATAGCTCCCATACAAAGGGACATATTCCCGGAAATTAATTTATCGTTAATAACTTTATCAAATATACCGGTATCAATACAAATTTTTCTACAAATTGACATTATATGAACAGGAATCAAAACTATCGACTTAGATGTGTATCGGTCCACAATAGATCATAGGTCCCATATAATGTCCACTTTCGAAAATCACTTAAATGAACATAATGTCACTTTCGAAATTCACTTAAATGAACATATTTTATTGATAAATATGTATATATATATAGTCTGCTATATAGAATAGGCTAGTCTATAATCTAGTCTAAATTCTAGTCTACTCTCTTGTCTATTGTCTTGTCTATAGTCTAGTCTATACTCTAGTCTATAGTCTAGTCTATAGTCTAGTCTATAGTTTAGTCTATAGTCTAGTCTATAGTCTAGTCTATTGTCTAGTCTATTGTCTAGTCTATAGTCTAGTTTATAGTCTGGTCTATAGTCTAGTCTATAGTCTAGTCTATAGTCTAGTCTATAGTCTAGTCTATAGTCTAGTCTATAGTCTAGTCTATAGTCTAGTCTATAGTCTAGTCTATAGTCCAGTCTACAGTCTAGTCTATAGTCTACATTCTAGTCTATAGTCTAGTCTATAGTCTTGTCTATACTCTAGTTTATACTCTAGTCTATAGTCTATTATATAAATTTAATTGAAAAAATTACTAACTGCCAGTTTGGCTAACGGAAACTATTTAACTGTAAAGCTATGTCCGTATTTGTGGCCATATAAACCTTGTGTACACGCTACAGCTCGAATATTTCAAGATAATTTGTTGAAATTTAGCACATATTCTTCTCTGGATCAAATGAGGAAGGCTGTTGAAAATTATTGAAATCGGTCCATTATTTCACCTAGCCAGCATACAACCGTACAAACAAACCCACAAAGGGCTTCAGTGCTCATAATTATGTTAAATATTTTGGTATCTCTACACTAATCGGCACAATTCAGTTTTATATAAGTCTAAATTATTTCGTAATTATCGGGCGGTATCGTCAAAAAGTGGCACAACTACATATGTTAATGACCTTGCTGAATTTTATAATAATCGGTCCTTGTTATCTCTCATAAATGTATGTAAATCTATCCACCAAATTTTATGGCTTCTTTCAGTAAATCAGTTTTTATACACTCCACCACCATCAGTGGTGATAGAGGGTATATATAATTTTTTCATTCCGTGTATAACACCAAGTAATATATTTTGGATCCTTATAAAATTCTGAGTCGTTTTAGTTGTGTCCGTCTGTCTGTCTGTATGCCTCAAACACTCTCACATTAAAACTAAGCAAAATAAATCAGAAAAATTCACCGAAAATATTCACTATTGTCCTAAGCAGTTTGGTATTAAAAATCTGCAAAATTGGTCAACAACGTAAAAAGTTATGAGTAAAAATTTCAGACTACCTCGAAAAAAATTAAGTTTTTTTCCTAATTCTTGAATAGTTTTCTCAGAAACAACTAAAGATAATGGAATCAATTTTTTCACACCTTATTTTCTTTACCCAGGGATCAAAAATGTTCAAACTCAAAACAATCGATTCAAAATTTCTCATAGCCCCATACAAAGGTACATATTCTCGGAAATATTTAGAGATATCATTAATAACTTCAGCAAAAATATCGGTATCACCACGAAAATTTGCACATATGTATATAAGAACAAAAATCATATTATCAACGTAGATCTGTATAGGTCGATTATTGATCACAGCTCCACTTTCGAAAAATACTTAAATACAAATAACTAATTAAGAAATAAAGATATTGGAATAATATTCAACATAAATATCTTTTGTGTATACATATATCACTTTGCAAAATATTTTTCGGATTGGTCCATAATTAGTCACAGCTCCCAAATAAGGACCACTTCCGAAAATCGCTTAAATGCAAATATCCAATTAAGAAATAAAGATATTTTAAAACAAGTAAGAAATTATAGTCGAGCGAGGCCGACCATATAATACCCTATACCTGTTACAAAAATAAAATGTGATTTAGTTTTCATAATAGAGCATTTAGTTGAATTGTACCTTGCCTCAGATATACTTAAGCCTTTTATTGCTGAATAAAATTGTGAACATTTCAGTAAAATTTTGAAGGGGGTTTTGTATAG